TATAAGTTCAAATATTTTTGGATTTATTTTTTGAATTTGTATTACTTAATTCATTCACTTAATTAGACATGTTTTCATGTTTGGCTCGTGTTTTCCTATCATTATATCGTACGTTATATGGTATTAATTATAACGATAGAATCAAACCTTTTCATTCACTGAATCAATTCGTTCGTTAGTCGTACTGGCAATCACACTTACCGACTCTTTCAATGCCAGGAACCCGTGGCACATCCACCGCCTGGTAGTACCGTCTCTACAGATGTAACTGAACCCCTTCTCGTGGTTCCGATCCGGAGCACAAAAGGAAACCTTTTCTATCGTCTGATCGACGATCAGTCCCTTTGTCTCGTCCTCGACGACCCGTAAACCATCCCCTGATACGTGCAGCACTGCGCGTACCGGCCGCCGCCTTGAATTCTAAATAAAATTTATTCTCCATTTAATCATAAAGTGCCTTCATCTGTTATTCACTTCTGGAATAGTATTACATTTTACTTTTCACTTTCAAATGGGAATGTTCATACTAAAATATTATAAATTGTCTTAAAGAACTATATGCATGCATACGTATGTATGTATAAATGTCTATATACTAACAATCTTAAAGTGCGTAATAGGTTCTTCCGAAATTGAGTTTTTTGAGTTGTTGAATACTCCTGAATTGTTGAGACACTTAAATTAAAGCAATTGCACGCATTTTCTGTCACTTACCCTAAGCACTTTTAGAGCTTCCTCGCATACTTGCATCCCCCTTGATTCGAACACCTCGACACATCCCAGGTACTGCACAATTGAAATTGATTGAATTAATCAATATACGAACAGGGTCAAGTTTGATGGATACAGCACGATTTAGAAAAGGGGTCGAAAGAGCTTTAGATGTGTACGTATGTATAACACTCCTCTGAATAGCCAAAGTATTTTTAGTGTTTAATTTCAATAATGATAAAATAAATTACTTTGGGCATATTCAATTCTCATATTTTGTGTTTGGAGCTGAAAGCATAAAGATATACAAATATATAATACGTGTAGCAGCAACGAATATATATTTGATAAATTGGAAGCTTTTTCGTACAAAACAAAAGTAAAAAGATTTTCATCCATGTTTGAAAATACGCGTATAAATATTGAAACGTTATGTATTAAATTGAATTTCTGCGTTAAATTGAATGGTACGAGAAGAAATGAAAACCCGTCCATATATTTAAAAAATTTGAAGCATGCTGGTAATTAATAATAATGTGAACAACGATATTAAATGTAGGTAATCAAATTGCAAATCAGTCTGCTTCATACTTGGAATACGGACAGTTTATAAAGCCGGAGTTACTGCAAGGAAAAGCATAATGGAACGCCTGCTATTCGAATATCGATTATCTGTGTACCAATTTTACAGTCAATGGCTGTTCGATTTTCGATTAAACGAGCACGTGTTCACAAGTTCTCTCATACCCGAGATATGCAAAAGCATATTGTTTCAAATAATCAAAAGAACTATTCTAATATTTTCGTTTCCTGCTATAATCAGAATTCCATGTGCATAAGATTATACTAATTCTATACGTTATTAGCAAATCAA